CATTAGCTTCCACAATCTCCTTTAATTCATCATTGTAGACGAATCGAATCGAACGAACACAGGTTTCATTTTTCAAGCCGAAATTTCTAGAACGGAAGAGGGAAACCCAATAACAGGTGGTGCATTCGTTTGTAATATTCACTGTACAGCTTGTGACGGATTGATGCCACGACGGTATTCATATTTCATAATTACTCAATTTTAACGTATCCATGATGACGAGAAAGATTCAAATGCTACGAAAACACAACGCTAATCAATAAACAAATGACTAATTTTGAAAAAAGAATTCCATGTTTTCTTAGCCAAATAAAGATTATTTTGATTTGTAATGGTCAGTACTGAAGACCGGCAATTTCGTAGGTAAAGACCTATTAAAAAGGAATCATTAAAATCGGTTTACAATTGACGAATATATCGCGTAAAATACATCAAAAAGAACAAATAATCGAATTGAAAACCTCCTTTGAGATTGATAGATACTCGTATTTATACATTAAAGGAAAACTTTGTGCCCCTTTTTATGCATATCAACCACATACGCTTTTTACTGGAAACGAAGTATCCATATTAGTCTTCAAGGGTGACAACGTATCTGCATTTTGGTTCTTAATTGAGAATAAATGTAGATGTCTATGGCCCTCAGCATCCACTTACCATCACGTGGACAGTGTGCTTGTTCGTCACCCTTATTCTATAAAAAATATTGCCTCAGAGTAAGTACAAACACTTTATAGTCTGTTGCCAAACACTATAATCTATGCTTTGAGTTGCACAGAGTAGAAGAGGTTGTCGTCAAATTTTTTTTAAATTTTGCCAACAAATAATTAATGATAGATTAACTGAATGAGCTGCGATTTTCGTGTCATTTCAAATGTTCCTATTTCAATAGTGTGTATGTAAAGGCAAAACGGTTAATTGATGTTTTGTATATTAGATATCAGAGTTTTATATATAATGTTTAGTTGAAAGTAAAATATAGTTTCCTTAATATACAAACCCAAAAATTTTATGAGTGACGGTTGAATTTCGACCACCAGGCGACCACTTGTATAGATAGAAAAGTGATGAAAGCCAAACTAAATGCGATAACATGGAACTTGAGAAATAAATAAAGCTAAAGTTTTGGCAGTAAAACTTTATTTTATTTATTTATTTATGCTTTCATGCACAAAAAAGTACATATGGCGGACTTAATGCCATAGGGCATTCTCTCCCAGGCAACCATTAGACTAAACAGAGATAGATATTATGGAGGCGGTGCAGCAATAATCAAGGAGCTTATTTAATGTCAAGAGGGATGTCGTTCCAGAGTCTGATGGCCATGAGGGCGAAAGAGTGAGATAAATAACCAGTACGGTGTAAAGGAGTGAGCAACTTAAGATTGGCCGAGGAACGGAGAGAAAAATTATGAGAATCTCCCAGGTATTGAAATTTAGATTTCAGATACTCGGGAGCACATGGATCGTTCAAAATTGAGAAAAGGGTGCAGAGTATTCTAACATATCTGCGCTGACGGATAAGCAGCCAGTTTAGCTGTGTACGAAAGGAAGATACATGGTCGTATTTACGAAGATCATAAATGTATCTCATGCAGTTGTTAAGCAGACGATCGAATGTATTAAGATGAAGTTGAGACAGGTCTGAGCAACACACATCGACATAATTAATAATCGGTACAATAAGTGATTGGACAAGTAAAATCTTGGTATTGGTGGGAAGAAAGTTTTTAAATCGATATAGAGATCGCAAAGTTCCAGTAGTTTTGCGACTCACCTCCTGTATATGTTTGTTCCATGTTAAGCAACCATCGATGTAAAGACCAAGGTTCTTTACATTAGTAGAGAATGGTATTTAAACATAATTGATGGTAGGGTGGGAATATCCAGTTTAGATAATAATCTTGAGTTACCTAAGATTATCGTATGGCATAATGATTTCTTATATTTACGCGAACACTACACATTGTATCGGACATATCGGAATCCTGATAACACCTTGAGCCATACCGTGTATAGAAAAAAGACCCATACAGATAGATATTTAAATGGTGATTCTCACCACCATCCTTCACAGTTAGCTACTGTGGGTAAATCTTTGTTTCAGAGAGCACGAGGGATCTGTGACAGTAAACACCTGGCTGCCGAGCTCCAACATGTCAAGCAAGTTTTGCATGACAACAAGCTTCGGGTCCCGCGCCTACGTCACAGAGAACGAGTGAAGCCGGCCACAGTCGAGCGTGTACCTGCTGTACTGCCATATGTTAGAGGAGTCACTGACAAGATTGGCTACATCTTGAAGCGCGCTTCCATCAAAACATACTTCAAGCCGCCGAAGAAGATTGGTCAGTTTTTACCATCAGTCAAGTGTAACATCCCTCTGCAAGATGCAGAAGCTTGATTGTGAATGTGGTCTCTCCTACATAGGACAAACTAAAAGATCAGTTAAAACCCGCGTCAAAGAACATATAGCTGATGTGAAGAATCGACGCTCCGGGAAGTCTGCAGTCCGTGAACATGTACAGGATCGCCCCCGTCACTACATCAGATTTGATAGACCACAAATCCTCGCTAAAGAACACCGATTCCTCCCAAGGATGATCCGCGAGGCTATTGAAATCAAAAAACATCCTAATTTCAATAGAGAAGATGGCTGGGTGCTACCATCTGCTTGGGATCCTATAATAAATAAAATTAAATCCCAACCCAAGCATACAACTGCAAGACTCCATGATACCATAAGTTCATACTGTGTAGATCGGAACAAAAGTTAAATTTTAATCTATGGTAACCGCGGTTAACTATGACAGCTGGACGTTGAACATCTCAGTCCTTCCCGTGACCATGGGTGCTGTAAAGCTCTCGAAACGTCGGGTATTTAAAAAGTTAAATATACGCGATAAATTCCGTAAAAACTAGTATTATTTCAATTATCGTATGGCATTTAGACGGGTTCACGTTTATGCCATACACAGTAGACCATTCTGAGATATATTTCAAATTATCATTTAACAGTGAGTGAGTGATAACTCTGTTTTAAAATAAAATATTCAATCGAGGTGTACTTTATTTATTTTGGGAAAAACCTTACCCTCACACTCACACCAGGATTTTCTTCTGTATCATGGAGGCAGTTTACAAACATAAATGTCACAGGGACATCCATATCAGGAACAATTATTTGTAGGCCATACAAATACTTGTTCCGTGCGGGATACGAACCCGCTGCCTTTAGCGCCGCAACTCAATGCTAAGCCACTGCACGGAGCCGTGAGACTACTTCTAAAGTTAATTCCGGTAATAAAGGTACGTAAGAGCTATAACGATAAGAAAGATGCTTTTTATACGTTGTAGAACCACGCTGCAGCTATATTATGGTTGTAGCACGAATGGGTCGGCTAGACCGGGGCAGGATCACGCTCTCACAGAATACCAGCGTAAAATAGTAGCTTAATACTGCTGCGTTTTATATGGTGAGTGTAGAGATCCGGATACCCTTTTTACTGGAAACGAGGCATTCCATCTTATTCCTCACGGGTGACATCCGCATTTTGATTCGTAATCGAGGATAGATGTAGATATCTATGGGCCACAGCAATCACTTACCATTAGGTGGACTGTGTGCTCGTTTGTCACCCTTATACTAAATGTTATGGGGTAATAGATTCTCTCGCCGGTTTACTACACGGCAAAAGTCGGTGAAGGAAAATATCGTGAGAAAACATGCATGTTTGTGGAATTAAAATATTTTGAATACATTTGAAGCACGCAACACAAACTGCGACATAGCGACAAACAAATTGCTTTATAACTTTCTCTACTAACTATAAGGCTTGTGCTCAGCTGTGAGACACATATTGCAATAAAAATTTGAAAAAATATTGTCAGTGTTGGAACCTGTTTTATTATATGCATCAGTGTCCTTTATAACCTATTTCTGATTTCTTCTCGATAACTTGCGCATTTATAGTCTATATTAAATAAATTGTTACTACTGGCGCAGTAGGAAAAAGTAATAGCATGAGTCGTCACTAACAAAAAAAAAAGAAATTTAAAAAAGCTAGATTAATAATTAAAGTAATGAAGAAAGAAAGAAAGAACTTTATGTAATGCTACAGAATATTATGTGCATATTTATAATGAAGATGAACCGCCAGTTATTCTATATACAGAAACAAAACAGAAAGAGAAACTTTTTTCTTCAATATAGATTATAAATAATTATTGAAACTCATTTTTATGTTTAATTTAGCACCGGCTCAGAAAATACCTGTCTTGAAAAGAACAAGCACGAAACCCAGGGCGTCTTTTTTTTAAAGAAAAGAACAGCATGGTAGCGATCACCTAATTTCCATTATCATCCATAAATTATAATAACATAAAAATAAATTTATATCATCATCATCATTACACCCCTTCACAAGTCCACTGCTAAACATAGGCCTTCCCCAAGGAATGCCACAAAGCATGGTCCTGAACCACTGCATCCATTGACTTCATGCATGTCTTACCAGATATTACATATATTGATATCATAAATTGTAACTATAATAATCCTTTTTATACATATAATCTTTAGTCAATAAAGTTTTTAAACTTGGCGTAAGTCACATTTTGTATATTTTCTGGGATTTTGTTGCAAAAGCACAGGGATCGCTCCAAGAATGAATTACTTTTATGAATATGAATTAATTTTTTCTATTCTAAGCCAGCGTTTAACTACAATCCCACCTCATGGTAAGTGGTGATGTAGCATTGACTTATCAAAAACCTATTCATTCTTGCATTGGAGACACACATATTGTAATCGGGTGGAAGACATGATATGACATGTTAACAGATGCTGGGCAACTTATTCCACTCCTTTGCGATGTAGCAATGGATGACGAACGATGTAGCAAACTGTTGAGAATGAATTGGTGGTAAGTAGACTACAAAATGGTTGAGACTAGCTTAAACTGGCTCGATTAAACTTATTGTACTGGAAGGGGTACCACTTACCATACTATCCCCTGCGCGCCGGAGCCGATGGGCTTGAGGTTCTGATAGCGCTTGAGTATAGTGAAGCGCGTGTCGCCGACCTCCACGGTGTAGAAGTGCGGGTGGCGCGGCGGGGCCGACATGGCGGAGGCTGGTGCCGCGTGGGGCATGAACTACCCCTACCTGATAACAAAAAAGACGCTGCAGATATGTTATGGTGGTAGCACGCTTGGGTCGGCTCGCGACCGAGGTAGGACCAAGCTCTCACAGAATACCTGCTCAAAATAGCAGCTCAATGCTGCTGTGTTTCCTATAGTAAATATAGAGAACCAGATACCCCTTTTTACTGGAAACGTGGCATTCTATCTTAGTCCTCAGGGGTGAAAACGCATCTGAATTTTGATTTTCAGTCGAGGATAGATGTAATATTTATTGACCATAGCATCTACTTACCATCAAGTGGACTGTGTGCTCGTTTGTTACCCTTATTCTCCAAATATATACACATAAATATATTTCTTACATTTACACAAATATCTCACATAGAATAAAACTTTATTAAAATTTTATGGATTTTATCGCGTTTAATTTTAACTTCACGGTGGGAAACAGGTGTTTGACGTCCTGATTTCATAGTTAACGAAAGCTATTTTTATCAAAAAATACCTTCAACAAAGTTTACAATATCTTCAAGTCTTAGTTTAGGTTAGTTAACGACGGCCTGTTTCCCGCAACTCCACGTCTAAGCGCGTATTTTGCGTGTGGGCAGGAATATTGTGATTATTCGAGCTATGAAATCTCCCCGAAGAAGTTCAACAATCCTTTGATGTTGCGAGCAACTTCGGGGAGCGATCCCGGCGTGCCGAGATGTTTAGTCCTATATGTCCTCCTCCCCCATACATGCTCTGCAAGGGGACTATCTGTAAAACCTATAGTAAATAAATGTTTGTTAAAGGAGCCATGTCCTTTAATAGCACTTGCTGCTATCCTGACTTGTGACTTCTTGAAGTCCTGCAGTTTGGAAATTAAACGCGATAAAATCCATAAATTTAGTTTTATTCCTTGTGTTCTAATAGTTCACGCTGGATTCCTCTTCTAAATAGTTTTTTGTACGTTACCCTCACAGTGGAATTTTCTGCTGTCTCCTATACATACATAAATTTCACAAGGACAAATATCCAGATCTGGAATAACTATTATATATTAGACCATACAAATACTTCTCTCTACACTCACCATACGAAAAACAGCATCATTAAGCTGCTATTCACGCTGTTAGTCTGTAAGAGTGTGATATTTTACGAATGGGTCAAGCAACCATAACATTAGGCATGGTGTACCACGTGTAAAAAACTTAGTTAATAAATGTCTATTTACTCTTGCTTTGAAGACACGTACTTACTTAACAAAGTTATCCGTGTAGAACGAATATAAATAGTCCATATATTGCAGCCAGTGTTTTATGTTTGTCGCTCACGTTCAAATGCGAGGAAGTGGTTACCCGGGAGTAAGTGTGCAGGGAGCGGAGCGAGCAGTGATCGTCAAGCGTCGTGCTATCACAGGTGCAGTTTCACGGCCGAGAGGAAGACTTTACGAAGCTGATTAGGTCTGAAACAAGGAGAGCAATAAATTAATTTTTCTTTTATTAGGCTACACATTAATACCAGTGTCTCCCAACGCATAGGTCTTAAGATGAACATGGACAAAAGAAAAGTCTTGTGTAACGTCCATGTCACACTTATGCTGGTAGTTGTTGGGAGCATTATGCTCAAAGTTATTAACGAGTATGTTTACCAGGGACAAATAGTCCGACTAGGTAAGTCCGACTTCGAGCGAGAGGTAAATCGACGGATTCAACTTGGCTGGGCAGCGTTCGGGAAATTACGACACATCTTCTCGTCAGGCATACCTCAAAACTAGATTGTACAACCAGTGCGTGTTACCAGTGATGACCTATGGATCTGGCACTATGAGGAAGTTCAAAGTCGATCAGCGAGCTATAGAGAGGGCTATGCTCGGGGTTTCTCCACGTGATAGATTTAAAAACGAGGATATCTACAGAAGAACTAGAGTAACCGACATGGCCAACCATATAGCTCGAAGAACCGACAACCTATGGGGAAGAAAGGTTTTCGAGTCGCAGTCACCTACCGACAGACGAAGTGTAGGTCGTCCACCCACTAGATGGAGTGAAGACCTGGTAAGGCAGGGAGTCAATGGATGCAGACGGCTCGAGACCGTGCTTTGTGGCGTTCCTTAGGGGAGGCCTATGTTTGGCAGTGTACTTGTAAAGGGCTGAAATGTTGATGATGATAATGTGCCTAAACATTTGAACGGTAATAAAACTAAGTGTATAAAATTTTTAAACCCAAATTTTAAATATTTGAACACTTGAGGCTAAAAGAAGAATTGAGCCCTGTCGATTTCACTGTTTTTATTTTGTATACTCTCGCCGACGACGATTCATTACCTCCTTAGTCTAGAGGTCGTAAACGCGACTGCTGTTCATGAGGTCCCGGGTTCGAATCCCGGATCAGGCCAAAGTCAGTTATTGGGTTATAATACCGAGGAGTCCTCAGTAGCAGTCTAGAATTTGCGGTGTTTCACCCCCTTATTTTTTTATAGGAATGGGTGACAAACGAGCACACAGTCAACCTGAGGGTAAGTGGTTGCCGTGGCCAATAGACATCAACATCTATCCTCGATGACAAATAAAAATGCAGATGCGTTATCACTCCCGAGGACTAAGATGGATTGTCTCTTTTCCAGTTAAAAGGGTCTCTGGTTTTCTGCACTCACTATACGAAACACAGCAGCGTTAAGCTGCTATTTCACGCTAATATTTTGTTAGAGCGTGGTCCTCCCCCGGTCGAGCCGACCCATTCGTGCTACATCTATAATATAGCTGCAGCGTGGCTCTAACACATAAATGCCTTTCTATAAGTATTATTTATAATCTATATTTAATAAAAAATCTTGTGTTCCTATTTTTATACATAAACTATTATCCAGAGGGGTAGGTAGTAACAACGAACATCTACTTGGCCCTAACCTGAAACACCCTTCCCGCTCTTTCATTTCTATACATCTACGCATACATGATAGTTGATTTAAGGGTGTACACTTAAATGGGCTCGTTTTCAAGATATCGCCCATATGATCGATAAACTACAGTCTAGAGCTCTAGAGCATCCCTTGCAGACTCAGCCACTAACTTCTATAGCATAAATTTGCTTCGTCAACTTTTCCTTCTACATTTTTGTCCAAAACGATGAAATTTTTTTACTAATCCTCGTCATCGTTTTGCGGTTTCTATGGAATTAACCAAAGCGAATCTACTGAAATCCCTGGAATTACATACAGCGTGATGGACTGTTTCACATTATAATTACCGCCATGGATAAACAAAACCACGATCTAATATTTAATAACATTAAATCACATTTCGCCTAATGGAAGTCGGATCGTTGAATCATTTCGCGAGTTAATCAAGTTTGCTGCAAAATTGCTCATTTGCATTTTTAAGCATCGCCCCTAGAGACGCGCCGTTTACTTAATAATGTAATAAGCCGAAATTTATACGCCCGTCTAGGACCCTAGTGAAAAAATGACGAGTAAAAATATTGAAGCATAAAATTTACATTTACATATCTTTATATAAGTTGCAGGTAATAATAATAATAATGCAACGTATAGAAGGTAGACCGTTAGTGAGATTAGTTAATTCTTATAGAATTTTTGATCACAGGTTTGAAAATTCTCAAAAGGTTATAAAATAAACATAATATTAAATCCTTACCTATGAAATTGCTGTTTTTATGAAATAAGTAAAAGTAATTCTTTTCCACATTTTTTATTTCTTTATACAAGGAAATCACCCATGCAATCGATATATCTTTTCAGAGGCAGTGTCGGTTTACTGATACCTTCTTGAAGAAATCAGCTCGACGGGAGGCAACAAATTCTTCAAAGGCATTTTGTACTGCCTCTCGAGTATTGAATGTTTTCCCGCCAAAAAGTTATCCAAGTTCTGAAAAAAGTAGAAGTCTGTAGGCGCAAGGTCTGGTGAGTACTGCAGAAAACGGAGAACGTCAGTTGTGCAGTATGAGGTCGCGCGTCGTCGCGCAGGAGCAGCGCGGACGAGCGATTGACCAAATCTGGTTGGAAACGTGCGAGCTTCTCCATCATTGTGTTCAATTCTTCACAGTTCACATCTGCAGTAACACTCATCCCTTTTGGTAAGAAGCTGTGATGATTCCACCAAACAAGGATCATCACTTTTCCAGGGGTAAGTTTTCTATTAGGGCATTGTTTAGGTGCTTAATCAGGATCCAATCAACTTGCTGAGCGCATGCGACTGTCTAACATAATACATTTTTCGTCGCAGGTAAAAAAAATGAGGTTCAAAATTGCTTCGTTTGTGTGCCTGTTGAGCAGTGCAAGGCACGTCTCGACGCGTACATCGCGCTGGAGATCATAATTCTTTTGGTATGGATAAACAGCAAGTAATATCTCTGGACATATCTCCTGAAGTGATTGACTGGTTTTATAGTTACATATTTGGTCCCTGGCAACGGAAACGTGTTGACTGTTCTCCAACTGATGTATGATCAATGTCGGTGTAACGCATGGTGGCGTGTCGTCTCCTATCTTCTTTTCAATTTTCATAAGTTCGATTACGCTCCAATTATCTTCTCGCTACCACCTGTATGCAGATGATCTCCAATTACAAGTGCCTGCCAAATTGGTGGATTTACCGAAAATTATAGGCTTATTAAACAAAGATCGTGAGTCGTGACTTAATTGCGGATTGGAGTAAATCATATGGTTAAAGTAAATCCATCAAAAACAAAAGCAATAATAATAGGCCGTCAAACATTGGTTACTTTTATAGAAAATCTATATAATGACACCGTTAAAAATCTAGGGTTATTTTGACAAATTTTATCCTGGGCTCCGCAAGTAAGCGAAGTAAGTAGGAGGGTGTTTGCGTCGGTCGGATCTGTCCGTAGATTAAGCAAATTCCTATCAATCAAAATTGCGCTTGCACAATCACTCCTTTTACCGATTTTTGATTATGCTGACATGTGTTATCTAAATTTAGTCCATTCACAACCTTTGTTTAGGGTTCATATTTGGAAGTCGAAAATAATGAACATATTTCATAATT